CGGCCTCCTTGGGGCTGCTGCTGTGGCACTGCACGGAGCGGCGCTGGACGCCCCGGCCGCAGGACACCGAGCACTGCAGGGAGGGACACAAGGTGAGTGCAGCTCCCATCACAGCCACCACGGTGAGTTCAGGGGTCTGGGCTCTGCTCTGGGCTCCGTGGCATTGGTAGCAATGATTACAGATTCTCTTTAATAATATATACTAATGATGTTTCTAGCAAAAACCTAAAATTTTGGAATTTGAAAACAAGGTAGCGGTGCTCTATCAAACTTCCAAGTGAGGCTTTTCATTGTGCGAGGGAAAACTTGGAATCTGAAGTGTGAATATTTGCTGTTGGCTTCAGTGGGGTCAGGACTTCCTGGACAGGATTTTTATTGAAAAATCTGTTTTTATTGCAAAATAGCGGCGCTGCTAAACCACCCTGACATGCCAGAGGCGGCCAGGCTCTGAGATTTGCTCTGAGTGTTGCTTCTCAGGCACTGGTTCAAAAAAGTAATAGTTCAAGATACATCAAATGCCACAAACAGAGTGGGCTTTAATGAAAAGCAAACTTGGATTCTATAGAAGAAAGTGTGTAGCTGTAGAGAGGGAAAGGTGTGATACAGCTGAGATTTCTTTCAGCATTCATCTGAACATGCACATGCACCAAGGCAGGGAATACAGTTAGTTTTTGAAAACAAATGTCTTTTTGAAATTAACTGCATTTCACATTTCCTTCATTACACTGTGGGCACATTTTTCCCAACTTCAAGGCACAGCAACAAATGCCTGCATTTTTCTGTTTCTCGGACATCTTTAAATTATTATCTATACTGCAATATTATTAACAGCTTATTTTTTCTTTCACGCAACATTTCTTAGTGTTGTGACTGCACACTAACATGTTTAGCAGTACTTAATATTCCCCAGGAACAGATTCCTCCTGGCTAGACCTTAAAGTATACTATACAGATTTGGAGTAAAGAGAATTTGCATTTGTAGAAGAAAGTGCATAAAAAATAAAGGTATGTATTAAAACCACAGTCGAATTAACAACTAATATTATTTATAACTAATATTACTTATTAATATATCAGGTACTAAGAAAATAAGTTCACAGTCTGTTATTGCAATGCCCACTAAAATGAGCCTTCTTAAGGCAGGGAATTGAGTGGTACCTGATGGGGAAGCAATTCCCTTTTCTGTATTCCTCCATAATACCCTTTGCTTTACTGTCCAAATGCCCCATAAAGCCAAGAAAACCAGAGAAAAGCTGACTGTGACTATTTGTCTGGCTTCAGATATTTGGAGGGTGGGAGCATTTTTGTGCAGCTTTTGAAAGCAGCAGTGGGATTTCTGTCACTAGTGATGCAAATGCTTCCCATATGCTGCTGCTTCCCTGGGATTAACAGTGCTCTTTGTCCTACACATTCCATAGGGGACTCTCAAACTGAATAAAGGCACAAACTTGGAGAAACATACGCACCAGGATGCCTACCATGCTGTAAGGTATCTTTTGAGTTGCATTTATCACCAACATAAAAAGCCTAGGTATGAATAAAAGAGCACAAGTGACACCGTGGCTTTTTCATGGGGGGCTGCACTCTGTGTGTGTGTGACACCTGGGTTTGGGGAGAGGATGGCCTGGACTGTGCCAGAAACTCCACCTGATGCTCTGCCTGTGTTTTTATATAGGGCTGGATTTCAGCCTGGAGCTGAAGTATGCAAATACCAGACAGCAGAATAAATATTGGTATTTTTGTTAAAGGAAAGGTAAATGGCCATAATTGACATCACTTAGGAGAAACAAACACATTACATCTGATATTTCAGTGCAGACATAAACACAGTGAAAACTTGGAGGAAAAACCTTTTTAGAGATATATCAAAAATGCTTTGCTCCAGGGGGGTGAGTTCTTAATCTAGAAAAGAACTAACCACATTCTGAATACAAAACATCCAAAGAGAAAAAAGCCTAGGATTGGAGCACCAGCACAGCCAGTGTTTAACTGAGAGTGGTTTTAAACCATTCCTGTATTTTTTGAGCCTAATTTTCTCAGTAATTCCTTTTCCAGAAGGCAAAACCCCCCAACACCTACCTGAAGGTATGTGCAACAGGTTCTGTGCATATAATAGTGACTCAAGGATGCACTTTTATGGGAGAACCTTGCCTTATTTCTCATGCAGACTTTTTGGTTTATTCAGGAGAAAAAGCACAGCAGCTCAGCTTTGGGATTAACATTCTGAGACAATTACACCTTTAGAAAGTTAGGAGTTTTATGGATAATATCTAAGTGGAAACTGATCATGGCTCCTATTTGCAACAGTGGCACTGGAGATAGGGAAAGTCACATGGAGTTTTCATGCCCAGTTTATACCCTGATCTACTGTGTATTAAGAGCACCAAACTCGTGTCTGTTTCATGCTCTTAAGGAGAAGTTCAGCACCTAAATTTGGCTCCACAGCATTAAATCTCTGGCAAAGCCCTGAACACCCTTACAAGGGACCCAGAACCAGCACTCCCAACCTGTGACAGCCCCAACTCTTCATCTGTCACAGGCAAAAAAGAAATGCTGCCAGCACCAGTGAGGCTCAGAGATCATGCCACAGCACCTGACAGGGCTTTAAAAAGCCCAGTTTGACACTGTAGCACAAATTTAAAAAGCCCAGTTTGACATTGTAGCACAAAATTTTCTTTGTCCCCAAGCAAAATGCTGGCTGGCTGAGCACATCCTGCATCAGGAACCTGGGCTGAGGAGCTGCTCCTGGAAAAGCCTGTTCTTAGCCTTATCATTAGCACACAAATATTCCTTAATTGCCTGGTCATGAGAGATTACCTTAGACCATAAATCACCTCATCCTCCTATTAACTTGGGTTTCTTTCTCTAGTAGCATAAAATTAATATCCATGATGCAGTGGAAAGCTGAGAATTTTAAACCACTTACTTTTACCAATTAGTATTAGTGTATTTTAATGCAATTGACAGACCATTACATTATTATGTTTACAATTATTAGTCAAAACTGCTTTCAGGAGTAGCCACTTAAATAAGGTGCAAATTGGATACCACAAGACTGTGTAATGGCTTTGCATTTCATTTTAGTCTGGCTCCTGTATAAAACTGAGGTTTCAGTCCTGAAGGTAATAAAGCTAATAATATTGACTTAATTTCCAGTATGGGAGCAGTATTCTGGATTTCACAGGCTGGATGCTCCTATCCTCAGGTATAGAGCCCAGACCTTGGTAACTGAACCTCCATGGTGAACAAGCACTGAGTCCTTTACCCATATAATGCCATTATATGAGAGGGCACACCCCTCTCCTGTGAATCCAAAGGTAAGGATTAAAAAAAACCTAATACAATTCTGAAAACAATCATAGATTATTTGTGGGTTTATTGTCTTTTTTATTAGTGGATATTAATCAACAGCATGCTGTCCTACTCCTAACATTTGCATGTGTGCAAGAATGGGTGTTTTGTCCCTAAACTTGAAAGACAGAATGTAAGGGAACATGATATTTTACAAGTTAACAGTTCATTTAGTCTGGGATTTTCAATAATTCCTCTGATTAGCATGCTAATGAGGTAGAGAGAAAAGCAAAGTTCAGAGTTAAAAATGTGATGCAGCAGATTCAAGGTGATGACAAAGACATTATTTTCAGGAAAAAAGGATTCAAGGTATGCTTTCAGCATGCAAGAAGTTTAATAACTCAAAATACTTTCTCATTTCCAGCAGCTTCTGCTCTATGCATGACTGTCTGACGTTTTAACAAGAGAAAATCAAGCAAAGAGTTTATTTCTCAAAACTAAGGAAGATTTTACTTGACTGATGATATTTAAATTATATTAAAAACATGAATAAATAGTAGTTTCTCTTTAATAATATATACTAATGATGTTTCTAGCAAAAACCTAAAATTTTGGAATTTGAAAACAAGGAATTTGCTTTCAGATAGACACTAAAAGCAAGCTGCCTAGTTTTCAGCTGGTACAAATCTGTGCTGCTCCACTGCTGTCCATGAAGCTGCACTGTTTTACCCCAGGATCTGGCCCAAAACCTTCATCCCTGAATAATTCATGAGGACAGAAGTGACTGGAAAACCAGGCTCTAACCAATTTGATGGAGGAGGAATACCAAAAGGTGCAAAAGGGTACACAAGATGTCTCACCTGGCCCCAATCTCCTGCTTTCCACTTCGGACATCTGCCCCCTCTGCATTTCTTTTGCACGTTGGGCTTAGCAAGGTGTTTACAATTCTCTTCTTCTACATGCCTCCCTTCCTTTGACAAACAGTACACACTGCGGTGCTTTTGGCCCCTTCCACAGGACACAGAACACTGTAAATATAAAGTAATAACAGATCAGCTTGCACACTCATACAGGGGCCATGGCTACCCAGGGCATTTTCTTTTAGCTGGACCAAAAAGCACCTCCCCAGGTCCCCAGCAGGCTACACAAAGCTTGAGGGGAGTGCAGGCATTTAATACTGTGTGATATTCTTGGTCAAAGCTCCAGAAAATGCCAGTATCAAAATAGAGAAAACAGCTGACATTCAGCAGGGATAACAGCCTGGATTCCTGGCATTGCTCCAGTCCTTTCAAAGGAGCAGAGTCATCTTACAGGGATCAAGGCAGGAGCCCTCAGTATCTACTTAGAACAACTTGAAAGGAACCATTTCCATTTACCTTGGTACAAAGGGATGTCAAATATTGGTAAATCAGGAGGGTAAAGTGTGCTCTGCACCTTCACAGAGGGAAATAACTGCACAAAGGACAAGGCAGAAAAGTGCAGCATTTCCTTGTCCTTGGTACAAAAGCTCGTGTTTGTTTTATCAGTGTAGTCTGACTTTTCTTTTTTCCTTCACTAAACAGACTGAAACCAGGCCATGTTCATCCTTAAGATTTATGCATTTTGAAAACAACTCAGAAGGTGGCAAGAAGGCAGAGCCTGGAGAATCAAAGCAAAAAGCAAACCAGCAGGTATGTTAGCTGCAAGCTTTGTAGTGAAGCAACTAATTTCAACCTCCCTCTGCAGGTTCACTGAACTTTTTCAAATGTGACCACTTCTGGCATGCAAACCCCAAGCAACTTCACTTTGATTTCAGATTAGTCTCCTCCAAAGATTTAGGAATCAAAGGGGTCTGGAATCACGACACGAATTTAATATGACAGTTTCATGTAGAACAAGCCTCTTACTCAGCATGATGCACCCAGAGACTCAGCTTCCATTTCTTCATTACATGCTACACCATGAGCATACTGGTTTAATCCTTGAGGGCAAACACACTGTTCTAACCATCTCTCCATATAAAATGTTCTGCTTTCTTTTCAGAATGGAGAAAACATGCAGAAATGAGGCTTCAACCTTCATTTTGGAGTCACTCCATCAGTGTATTTCCCAAGAAATATATTACAGCTTAAGCTCTTCCCAGCCTATAAATACATTCGAACTCTAAAAAATTTATATATATAGCAGCTCTGGAAGATCCACTAGAATAGAAATTGGCATATACATTGACACCTGTGAATATTTCATATTACAGCCCTACTTACAGCTCATTCAGCCCACAAAGAATCAGCAGGAGAGCAGTTTCTAAATGGAAAAATTCAGACCAATGTGGAGAGAAGTGGATGTAGCTCCAAAAACCAGATATTGATGCTTAAAAGCTTGTATAAACGATGCCCTGAAAAGGTTGTTTTCCTGCTGCAGGAGTGTTACAGATTGACAAAAGATCACTGAGGTCCTGTTGATCAACAGCTTTAAGAGCCTTAAATGATGCTCCTCTCAGAGGCTGAGCAGGGACAGCTGCCCCTGAGTTTTCCTGAGCCCAGGAAAAAGATAGGCCAAAAACTCCAACCAACAACATCCAACCTTGCACTGAAAAACAGAAGAAATGTTGTCCCTTGCAATAAAATAAAACTGCCATGAGTTACCCAGATCCATAAACTTCTTTTCTTTAGCATCAAGAGAAGAAATATCAAGCTAATGTTATCCCTATTTTTATAAGCCTTCAAATTTCATCAGAAGTTAATTTTTTCATTTTCTCTACTTCTCTCCCCAGGCAATAAAAGTCAGCAGCAAGACAGAAATGTCACATCCTACAAAACCCATTTTTAAACTTCTAGTATTTTCATCCACTTACTGTCTTTGGACTAAACACCAACACTGATGCTTAAACAAAAATTCAAGTGCTCCTTGGAAAACAGGTTTCATGCAGGTTATGCCACTTTACTGTGACAGCCAAAGTAAAAGAGTTTCCTTGTTTTCAAATTTACAGCATTGATCAGGAGTCTCTCATGTCCCACACCCTGAGCTGATACAGCCCAGAGCATCCTTAATTTACAAAACACATGGGATGCCACTACTTATCCTAAAGTAAGACTAACCACACTGTGCAACAATGCAAGCACCTTTCTGGGCACCTGAAGCTGGTTGATAAATACTTGATCTCACAAACAATTTGGTCCTAGCTATTTCCAAAGTTATTACTCCCCTACAAAATGCTTAACTTTGGCGTGGAGCCTGGTTCTGACATTTATCTCGTGATCCCATGATCAAACAAGTCTGCGTGTAAACCTCAGTGCACTCAGAGGTTGAGGCATAATTTGCTTAATTTTTTTAATATTTAAATGTAATTCCCAAGATGCTGGAATGAATCATTTCTATGCCTGCCTTTAATATAAATCAAATTTAGGCAGCTGTGCATTTTCAGATCCAAACCACCGGTTTGCTTTCATGCACATTTGAGTTATGATCTCATTTGCACTGACAGAAAAGAAAGGTTGAATAATCTAATTTAACCAAGTATCAGAGACTGAAAATTCCTTTGCAAAGAGTCTACTTAATAACTGCCATCTAATTCATCTCAGGTATTCAGCTTTTATCTGGCACATAGATTTTAAGCATATGTGAGCCACATGCAAAGCATAATTTAATAGTGGGCTGCATCTCAACACCATGTGAGTCCAGGAAGTTCTACACCCAACTACCACCATCAACCTCATAATTTATTTTGGACCGTGGATAAACTTTGCATTTCATTAACTGGATTTTTTGTGGCTGCAGATGCTGCCTGCTTATGGTATCCACCAATACAATGAGGTAAGCTTTGACCTTGCCTTCCTCAAAAACTTTGGGAAAATCACTGCCTTCACATTCCTCTTTTTCTTGAGCTTTTTTCCCACACCTCCCATAAAAAATGCTTCCAAGTACTGGGGGCAGATGGTGGCTCTCTGGAATCACAGCCTCACCTTATCCAAGGTTTTCTTAGTCAACAGAAAAGCCTCTACTGGTTTTAAGCACCTCTGGGCCAGCCCTGAAGGTGTAGCCAGGTAATGTATGGATTTTTTCACTAATCAGCTTCCTAGAGTAAAGGATCACATGCACTTGGGCATGCCTGTGGTCACATTGTCTCTATCTCCGCTTGAGTGTGGGAAAATGCTGCTCTGAAAGGCAGTTTACAGCCTGTGATTGAGGCACAACAGCAAACAGCACCCCTGGATGAACCTGGGAGGACAGCCAGGCATGTTTCTGGTTTTTTACAGAAACATAACAAATTGTTATGTTTCTGTAAAAAAAACACCAAAAAGTTTGTGGTGCCTAAAGTAATAGAGAAACAGTATTTTGAAAAAGCAGCTATAGCCATCACTAAAACTCTAGCAAACCTTCCCCTTGTTATTATCTTTATTATCTCCTAAACCCACCAGAGTTGCACCTGGCACTTTACACGGAGAACAATAACAAAAGAACTTTCCTAAGAGCATTAGGATCAAAGCACTTAGCACAGATTTAAGGGCTTTATGTTTATTGCATGATTAGTGTTAACCTGCCAAAAACTGGAGATTGGCATGCTGCTGATATTTTCAAATAAATCTACTGCCCAGTTTAAATAAATACAGCAGAAATATTTCCATATCAACTGTTTCCATAAAGGTCAGAACAGGATGCTAAACATCTGCCATGTCTTGCTCTGCTCGTGTTTTTGTTTCCACAGAAAAATTGTTTTCTGTTTCAGAGTTTAGGAGATGATCATTCTGTTTTATCAAGTGTGTGCAAATTGCTTTAAAATAACCCTTTCTGTATTTCCTGATCTCATTGTTTGGGAGATGAGAGTACCTCTTGTTCATTAAGACCTGTCTAAAATAGATGGGCTGCTACTTGATGCATAGGGCTGGCAGCAGGAAAAAAAACCCCAGAATATGTTCAAAATCTCTTAAAAATCTGTACAAAATCTCTGGTGAATTTCTGGGAGTGGGGTCAGTCCAGCACCAAGAGGACTCAAGAGCCCTGGGCACAAATGAACAGATCTCAGCAAGAAAAAGGCACCACAGAGCCGTCCAGAAGAAATGGAATGACTGCTCCTTGTAAACTTTGTGCACTGAAGGGGCAGCTCCACAAAGGGCAGAAGGGCACATCCCAAGCAAGAACCTGGGAAAACTCTCCCCCAGAAGTGAAAAGCTGCAGAAAATGCTGTCAGACCACTTTTCAGACCCACTGTGCACAGCCGACAGCGATTTGGGAGGTATTTAAGACAATGAATGCAAGCTGTGGTGATCACCCAGTGAATTCCCAAAGATAGGAATGATAGCTCAGCAAGGCAGGGCTGGGAAGGATTAGACTGAAATGGCTTTATCAGATTCTGCCAGGAGCAACTTTTTGGAGGAAATTAAAATCAATCCTTGTAGATTTAGACTGCCCCACATTAAGGATTTTATGGAAAGTCAGCAGCTGTAAGTAAGCCCTGGTTCATCCTTTCCAACAATCTGAGACAAAACGTGTTGGATGAAATAAAGCAGAAAAGCAACAGAGCCCTCCAATGCTTTACACCCATTTTCCAAGAGGGCTGGTGCTCCTGGATGCCAGTAAACTTCTCCAACAACAAGCAAACCCAACAATGCACCCTCACAGCTACCTGTCAGCAGCCTCTTAGTCTGTGTCACCTTTTACCACCACTAACACTGCTGCTGTCAGATACTGAAACCATATCCCAGTGACTTCTATACTTCTGAAGTCCCTGAGTACAAAGGACATCAACAGACGCATCACCAAGGAAAGCCTGGATCCTTCCTCACCAGCTGAACCTTCACCAAGAATCTTAAAATGTTGGAAGCTTTGTGAGCTGTTCAGCAACAGGGGCTCTGTGGCTTCCAAACCAAACCAGCTTCACAACAGCAAGGTATTTCAGCAGGTAATTCCCTTGGCTTCAGTGGGACAGGCTGACAGCAAGGCTGCAGCACTTTAGGAGATGTTTAGGAAATGTTTATTGCTGCTCTGAAGCCTTGTTTCTCCCACCAATGTGTTTTATCAAGGTTTTGTGCCCATCTGTGTTGGCATGGTG